TAGGCCACCACTTTGCACTCATGGCTCATGAACGAACCGTGGACTCCTCGCGAGAGCGACAGAAGGAGGAGATCAAAATCCTCCAGGTCAGGACCACCATACCCACTACTCGATGGCGACCCTTTGACACTCTCGCCAGGACACCCAGACTATAGCGGGTCTGGTCACCCTATGACGGTAGACCTCCCGTCAGTCAAACTGTCCCGTACCCAGATTTTTAACCACTGCGGTCGGGGGCTGGCTCACCCACCAGTTTTTTGGTCTAGGGCGCTCGCTGCCCCGCCCAAATTTTTGAACGTGGGACCCGGTCTAACCACGGTTCCAGACTCTGGCGAACCTCATTGGATTGCATCGTGTGACTGTGGTAGGGTTCCAACTGACCCATTTTGACCTCATAGGCTAAACTCCCGGAGTCTTAGCCTCAGTCAACTACGAAATTCGACACTTGCGTAGGGGACCTGCTGACCCCACCAGATTGAAACCTAATGTGGTAAGGCTATGACTAGCCCCGACAATCGAAGCATCTTTAGGTTTAGAGAAGAAAACCCTAGGGACAGACAATCAAACAACATCTCATATCCCCAACCAGACAATCCATGCCCCAAATAACAGAACAAACATTTCTCAAGAAACGTCCCTTCAGTCTTAAGAGGCACTGAACATAAGAAAACGACAACCAACAATGCACTTCTTAGAGACCTCACTTCAGCCTCAGGAAATATGAAGTGTTAATCTCAGAGAGGTCCTTTACCTCATCTGACAGTACAACCAAGAGACCTCCCATCAGCCTCAAGGAAGTATAGAGATACTGACCCTATAGAGGTCTCTTCCCTCATCTGAGACAAAAGATAGGCAACTTAGTCAAGAAACACGAAGTTCCCATGTTGACAACTCTCTGGTCAAGCAAGGCTGAACTTCTTTATGCCCAACTTCTTGATAACTCTCTTAGACAGGCAACTAAGTAAGAAGACACGAAGTCCCTTTACTGATAACTCTCTAGTCAAATAGAGTTGAACTTCTTTATGCCGGTTAAATTTTCTCTTCATCAAAAGATTGATACCGATTACTCTTTGAGGTGCCATGACCAAGAGTTCTTTGAACTTAACATCACTACAACTGCTTCTCACAGTTGTCCCCTACTCAGGGATATGATGCCTGTGGATCGACTGCGGCCCAATATTCATGACACTGCTCTCATTGTCTCTGTCACTTACAAAAATAATGAAATTATGTCAAATGCAGAAACGAGTACATATCATTTGAAAAATATTTCTCATACCTCTCATGTCAGGATTTGACATGCTGAAAATTAAAATACTGAATTGACAATGCAAGAGTAGTCAAAGTCTGCTGAAGTTCTTGTCTTTGCAGCGTCTCTCTCTGTCTCACTATACTTCTTTTAACTTTCTGAAACAGTTCTCTTACTTGATGATTGAGTCTTCTTTCTTTTCTTTGTGATCATTGTAGGGATCATGTCATGATCTTTGAAAATAAGCTTACGAAGCCTTGATCCTGACACCACATCATGAACTCTTAAACCATCCATCTTCGATATCTCATAGACTTTGCCTTTAGCATCACCTGTAATTATGTAGGGACCGAGCCATCTGGACTCCAATCGCGTTGTCCACCGAGTCTCAAGGAAATAGTCAAATAGAAGGACAACGTCACCAATCTTTAACTTCTCTTTCCTTATATATCTCTTTTTGTTCCATCTCTCTTTATCTGACAGTCTGCTGGTTACCATTCTTTCTGCAACATCTATCGCATCTTGATCAACCTCTGATATCTGTTTTATTCTGATCTGAAGAAGCTCTGAAATAAAATATTCCCTGTCACTCTCTTGACTTGACCATGTTCTAATTATACTCTCAATGGGTAAAGTAGCATACCGACCATACCACAAAGTGAATGGAGCATAACCAGTGGTTCTCTTGACAATAATGTTGTCAACATAGACTGAAACCCTTAATGCCTTCGTCCAGTTACCGAGATTCCCTTCACACCATTTGGCCAATGAATCCTTCAGAGTTCTATGAACTCTCTCGACAGGTGCGTTTGCTTGAGGATGATAGGTGGTTACATACCGAATTCTAACAACAGTCTGAGAGTGGTTCTTCTTACGATCTCATTCCTGAATTCAGATCCTCTGTTTGAAACAAACTCTCTAATAAAGGGGTATCTGAGATAAACTTCCTCTATTCAGTCAGCCACTTGCTCGACTATCTTCCTTTTCAGAGTCGTAGCTTCAACATATCTAGAAAAATTATCTTTCATGTTCAGTATGCATCTCATACCACCCTTGCCTGAAGGCATGGTGATGAGGTCCAAGTGAACTCGACTTCCTGGTTCTACCAGGATAGTAGGGAATAAAGACTCAATCATCCTCGCAGTAGACCTCTTCTGACATAAGACACATGACTTACAGAATCTGTAAATCATGTCTCTCGTGTCAGACCAGAAGTAGAGTTTAACTGTCTTAAAGTAGGTTGCTTCAACAACCCTGTGGTCATCAACAACCCTCTCGTGTAGAGCAACAATTATTTCTAGCTGTCTTTCTTTTCCACAGACCACCCTCAATGGAGGTAGTCCTCCTTTGCCATCCACGAAGAGGTGACCTCTCTTTGATCTCAACTTCTTGCTTCGGTCTTTGCAGTAAGACTCCTTTAGCCATTCTCTTTTCATCTTTTTTCAATCTCTTGGTAGTTTCCATTATATTCTTCAAATTGAATGATATCTTTTCCTCTTTCTTCTCAACTTCTTCTTCATTCTTTGAGCCGGAACTCTCTTTCAGTTCATGAGCAGCCACAGCCGCCGCATTGACCTTAGCATTGTCCCTTCGCCGCTCTAGCCGGGTGAGCCAGCTATACATCCCGCGGTCCCCTACGACAGGATAGGTTTTCGCGGGGCACAACTTACTTTCCCTGAGGGTGGTGACAGCCCCTCAGGGAACGTAAGTTGTGCCCCGCGAAAACCTATCCTGTCGTAGGGGACCGCGGGATGTATAGCTGGCGCACCCTCCTAGAGCGGCGAAGGGACAATGCAACCGCGTCCGGCTGGGCAGTTCGCGGGATTATTTCTGCATCGTCCTAAGTTGTCTCTAGATATTTTTTTGTTCCAACTCCTGCGTGACATAGCCGGGAGGGCCCTCGTTCACGCGAGGGCCGATGCGCTGGACAGCGGTCTTCGCCGTTCCCCAGTCTTAGAAATCTTTTATTTTGATTCGGAACAGCAAAGAATCATGCAAATGTTAATCATAAAATTCTAGTATGTTATGCATGCACAAATTTTGCCAATTTTTTAATTTTGAGAGTTGTGACAGAATCTTCAAAGAACGCAATCATCAAGTACAGACAATACAAATGGAGCAAAACTGACCGGCTCGAGCAATGACAAGACAAATTAGGGAAGAATGAGAATTCATAATAGTCTCAGACAGTATATATGGAGAGAGCATGACCAGTACCAGTCAAGAGTCCTCACTCATCCCTCTGAGTCACACACTCATTTTTTTATTTTGCTGTGCGTTTTTTCTGCTTCGAGCCATGTCTTCGTATTCCCTGAGGTTGTGGAATCTGGATGTAAAGCCACCTGAAGCCTGCGAGTTCAGAACATTTTCAACCAAGTCCCATGATTCGGAATTCAACCATAGCACGTAACTCCTCCCACAAAGTAGGCAGACTGCGGCTAAACAGTCTGTGCAGCCATAGCCAAGACACACACATGAAATCGAAAAACTGAGTTCCGAAAGTATGTGAACATGCATGCAAAACTGCGAAAGAGCAACATGTGGCGCCCCTCTACCAGTTTCACCCGCCCACACGAGATCATCAGGAGGGTAACTCTGAAACAGAGTCTTCGTGCTCGAAGAGGAGACTCTAGCCGTGCCTCCTGCATTAAGTAGTTTCCTCCGCGTTACACCCTGTCTCCATCCGATGGAGACAAGAAGTCAAGTACCTACCGACAGAGATCTAAAATAAGTAAGCATAGAGGTTGCCGTACGTTACTCTCGCGACTGTTCAGCGTAAGTCGACTCCTGTCCCCCATAGGTTGTCATAACCCCTATTGCATATTCCACGCCCTCTCTTATCCCCGTGAGTGCCCTGCTAAAACTACCAATTGGGCCCTATAGGCCGGTCCTGTTACACGTTTTTGCTGCCCCAATTCAAAACTCGTCATTTCCTAGTCGAAAACTGGCCTCGGTATTTCAAAAACGACCAAAGGGTCGGTGCTCCGAGAGTTCCCGGGCTCCGAGAGTTCCCGGGCTCCCGCACCTTCAAAATCCGACTATCGAACCGTCGGTGATGCGAGTATCTTAAACTAATAAAGTATGACCAACAAAATAATCAAAAATAACAAAACTCCGCCCTTCCCGAGGATCAAAAAACCCCGTCTGGATTCCTCGGAACCTGAAATTACCGAAAAAGACTGCATAAAGAGAAAACAGAAAAACAGAAAACAGAAAACCCTTCCCGTAAAATAAAGTGAAAAACATACCACCCTCAGCCGCTGTCAACGGTTCGACAGCGAGTCCGTCTTTGAATGGGAACCGCCCGAGGAGCCACCCCGTCTATGTTTCCTTGCGTGATTCGCGGTGTACGAGAAGGCTGAAGTCAGAGTGTGTAGTGCTCGATTAGGCACAGCCTTGGCCAAGTTGGCCAGGGCACCGAGAGAGACCTCCAGGGGTTACCCCCGGAGGTCTGCTTCACAAACCGCGAAGCCGATGGCACCTAATACCAGTTCCTTACTCGTTGCCTGGTCCCATAGCCTCTTAATCATCGTGGTCAATACCGCCTTCTTGACCGATTTAGCAGAGTAGGAGTTGGAGTCCTGCATTGTTTGGTATCGCATAACACCATCCAGATGCAGACTCTCCGAGTTCTTCGTACTCAGGATATAGTGCAGTCGAATTGGTGGTTGACAGATCATCATTTCGCCTCCCACAAATTGCCAGGTCATGCCACAGTCATCCTTCCGTACGATCTCCAGGTTCTGGTTGTAGATGCCTTCAAACGCGGCGAACAAATCTTCCTATTGTATCATCTTCTGGTCTTGTTCCCGTACTCCAGTGATCACCGAGATATCATCCATGACCCGCCAGCCTCCAATCAGTCTTCTATCCCCGCCAAGCTCATTTATGAATCGTAATTCGGCCATCGCGCATGTGATTGAGGCAAGTATCGAACTAGTTGACTTGCCCATCGGTATCCCAAACACCTGCTTTACTATCTTCTCTCCGCATCTCACCACAGTGTGTCTCAGGTCGTACTTCACGCCTTCCAAAATCAGTTTCAGCTTCAAACTCACACAACCGTCCATCTTCCTCCTGTTGTTGCTGATGACACAGATCTTCCCCCTCCGCGATACTCTAACTTGCTTGCAGCCTTTATCCTTATAGAGTCTGAGCAGGTGGTGCACTGCTTGTATCACCGTTTCGTGTGGTATACGGGAGAACATGTCCTTGATGTCATAGCACCTCCCGATCGCACTGTCGCAGCCCGCGACTCTCAGACGTATTGCAGTGCCAGCTAGCCTTTCCCCTAGTTCAGCGATAGAGTTCAGGTAAAAGGTACTGTTCTCAGGTAGTCGTTTCCGCAGTTGATGCAGAGCCCGCGCCACACTCCGATGTGTCATCGAGGCTGGGTCTGCGGGTGCAGGCGCAATCGGCCTCCACCGTGTGAGATCCTTGTGCTTGGGGATCACATACGCGGCCCCCAAACGACCGTCCGGTTTCCAGGTCCCAATCGCCTGAAGTCCGCTCCTCCTGAAGTCATCTCTGCTCTCTTTAAGGACGTCCGCCTCCGCCTCACAGGTCCCCACTGCTTCGTAATTCGTGTTCCAAGAGAATGTCTTACCGAATCCATGCCGGTAAAGTACGGGGCACAGTACCGCCGTGCCACCTTGATTGCGGTCTATAGGTGTGAGCACCAGGCCATCTAGATACACCTTCCAATTGAGCACCTCTTCATCCGTCCAGGTTGTACTTGGTCTCTGTTCGCCGATCAGCACCTCCCTTGGTTCAATCTCTAGAATCTCCTTCACCTTCAAGTGTTGGGTCGCTAAAAGTACGGCCTTAGCCAGTGTGTCTGTGCTGATAGCTCTGGCCGGTTTGGTCACATTCTTGGAGTTCCTGACAAAGGTAGGTACGTCCATCTCCGAGAAACTCGTTGATACGTGTCCCTCCAATTTGTGCAGATCCAAGTATCTACACGGGCAAGGGTACTCCTGCATATTCGCATATTTCTTCTGGTTGTGCAGCAGCTCCGCCACCGTCCAGTTCTTTAGCCACAGGACACGACTTCTGGTCTTCACGAAATCCACAAGAGGTTTCTCCTTAATCGCCCTATCAATTGCTTGCTCCGCCAAGCTCCTTACACCATTCTTCCGGATACGTGAGTCAAAGGGCAGTTTGATGTTAACCCTCTTTCTCACGGTCACGCCCGTCTTCCGGGCTATGACCCGATCCAGCTTCATGCGCAGTCGGTGCTTCGTTCCCTTATCACTGAATAAGCCTGCAGTCTTATAGAGGCCGATGAGCTTCTTTGTAGGCAGAGGCTGCAGTCTGGAATCCGGTCTCGGCCTCTTGAGCAGAGAGATCAACAAGCTCCTATTACGCTCGGTCGTGGTCTTTGACTTAATGATTCGCTTGAACCGCACCTCCCCTCCCTTTTCCAATGCCGCCTTGGATACGCCGAGTCTCGATACTTCTCCCCCAATCACGATTTCAGAGCCCCCGAAAGCTCGCCTAATTCTCCTCCAGCCGTCTATCCAGCTATCTCTGCTAGCAAACTGTACCATTATCTCCCTCCCGTCAATGTGTTCCGTCAGCCAGCTAAGGACCAAAGTGATATGCATCCCCTGGTATCCCATCATAGTCACTCTCTGCAAGCGTATTGTTCTCCTACATCCGCCTCTCTCCCGTCTGCCCTTCCTCCATCTGCCCTTTGACAGTTTCTCTTTTCCGCCCTTTCCTCTATCCCTCGAGTTCAAGCTAGGATTAAAAACCGAAATCAAGTGCTTCTCGAAAGCATAGTCATCCGTGCTATTTGCGTGTCGTAATGGTATCACAACATACATATCCAGTCCAAATCTACGGAGCCATCGGTACAGCTGCGGCGACTGTCCAAGCGCATTGCTTCTCGTATTCCTACAATGCTCTTTCCACCTTTGGATGATCGGTTTCACCGTACAGCCCACGTATACCTTCTTGGTCCACGGGCTAGCTAGAGCGTACACGCCCCCGGTGTCCAAATCTAGCAGGCTGGGCAGCTCCTGAGTAATCGTGAGGTATTTTGTTAGCCAAGGGACTTGCCCCTATGCAGCCAGCAGTAGAGTAGTACAAGTGATGGCGCATTCCACCTTCCGTACCATTTCGCCTGTCACCTCCCGCCCCCATAGCCACGCTCTTTCAGCCATCCACGAGCCAAGAAGATTCCAGAGTTCTGCGCGGGTAGGGGGAATTAATCGTTATTTGGAATCCTCCATCGGATGCGTCGATGCCGAATGTATGATGACCGGTACCGGTCTCGCGGTTGGTCGTTCGGAAGTGGTCTTGTCTTTCACGAACTCCTTACGCGGTGAGCAAGATGCTTTCGTCTTGATCTTCACCGCCGTGCTCCCCGGTGTTTCGTCGAAGCCGTCGTATGCTAGTTGAACTTGGTGTCGCGCAAGTATCTCCACAGCTTCCGGTTTCTTCGTTTACTTCAGTCCCTTCTGCTCGCATAGCTTCCTCAGCACGTCCGCTTTCTTGCTGGAGTAAATCTTATGAGCTGAGATGCAGTAATCGATGAGTCCCGTTTGTGAGCACCCGGCTGATAGACCCTTGAAATTGCCAGTCAAGGGCGTCTGAGGTTCACCATCGATGCCAGGTTCATCCTCCTGTCTCACCGGCAGTTGCTTGGAGCTTTTGCCCCGTTTGTAAACTCTACTTGGCGGTGTGCGTTCTGAAGGTCTCTTGTCCTTATCCTTCTTCGGTTTCGCTTTCCGCCTCGATCGTTTCACAGTGCGCTTACCGCGTGCCTTCACCCGCGCTCTGGTTCCTTGCGTGTCAGAGTCACTAGTTGACGAGTCTGATACTTCTTCATTGGATGTATTCTCTGATTCCGACTCCTCGCTCGACGACTCCAGTACCTTCTTCTTCCGATTCTGGCCTATCTTCCGTTTGGTTCCACTCCCACTTTTCCCAGTGTGCTTCTGTGTCGATTTCCTAGTCTTCTCAACCGCTTCCTTAGCTTCCGAGTTAGTTCTCCTCCATTCTTCTAGTTGCTCGGCGCGTAGTTGTAATCGAAACTCCTCCGCCTTCTGCGCGAAGTCTTGGTTTCTACGTATCTCATCTTCCTCCTTGGCTTTTCGTTCTTCCTCCAATCTACGCTTCTCCGGTAGTTCATGTCTTTCCTTTCGAAACTGCCGAAAGTGCTCCTTCATTTCTTCTAGCTCGGGGTCGCCTTGTTGTAAACTATAGTTTCTCCCTCTCTTCGCCCAGCAATCACGAGCGAAATGTCCGATCTTTCCACAGTTAAAACATGTGTTGTTGCCACCCCTCCCCCTCCGCCTCCCCCTCCACTACCGTATCTGTTACCACCCCCATAGTTGTCGTACGCCTATCCCTTGGGCGCGTTATTGTAACCACCTCCCCCTCCTCCGTCGCCCGGGCCGTTCGTCAGCAACATCCTGTCTACGCCTATCCCTTCGGAGAATCAGCCCGTCCGTCACCGTCTCTCCGGATAGTGCGTGCACCTCCCGTTATCTCTGTCCCTCACTCTTAGCTCGTACTCGATCTACGTCGGCCTTGAAGAATCGTATCAGACTATCGGAACTACCCTCCAGATAACCCCAATTCCCGGCAGCTAATCAGACGTATGACCGTGCTTTATCGGAGTATACTTGGCTTCGAAGCAGATCGCATTCCTTACTATCGGAACTACTCTCTCCAGATATCCACAACTTCACGGTAGCTAACCTGCCGCCTCGTACGTAACACTAACACGGTGGTTTCAATTCTGATCAGCAAGTCCATCAGCTTCTCATATAAGGCCATACAAAGTGCTTCGTTATTAACGTATCCTATCAGGTAGTGCATAGGCTCAACAGTATCCCTCACGTACTCTTCAAGCGCTTGGATAAGCCTAGTCCGTACGGTGGAACGCCTCCTGTGTATCTCGCACCTACCGCCGCATCCAGCACATGGCGTCGGCATCTCGTCAGAAAGCGGAACCTAGTACTAAGAGCCCGACGCCGATAAGTATAACGCCGAGCCCATACAGCAGAGACCATATGGCTGTCGCTCTCCTCATCCCTTCTGTGGGTTCACTCGGATCGCTCCTCGTCCGAACCAGCCGTCGTGGCCGTTTCTAGCGGCTAGTAAGACCCAGCTTCTCCGGATTGCTTACCTTTGTGTGACCCCTCCGCTCACGCACCCGCCGTCCGTCGTCACAGTCACCTCATCATGTTACCTCTTACCGTGTCCTGATATCTGCTCTGCAGGTAGCCACGTACCCAGCAGGCGAAGTCATCCCAAGTCACCGAGTTGTCGAGGTAGCCACCAAGCAGCGCGTGCAGCTGACGGTTACTACGCTCCCACGAGTAGGCAGACTGCGGCTAAACAGTTTGTGCAGCCATAGCCAAGACACACACATGGAATCGAAAAACTGAGTTCCGAAAGTATGTGAACATGCATGCAAAACTGCGAAAGAGCAACATGTGGCACCCCTCTACCGGTTTCACCTGCCCACACGGGATCATCAGGAGGGTGACTCCGAAACAGAGCCTTCGTGCTCGAAGAGGAGACTCTAGCCGTGCCTCCTACATTAAGTAGTTTCCTCCGCGTTATGCCCCGTCTCCATCCGATGGAGCAAGAAGTCAAGTACCTACCGACCAAGATCTAAAATAAGTAAGCATAGAGGTTGCCGTACGTTACTCTCGCGGCTGTTCAGCGTAAGTCGACTCCTGTCCCCCATATGTTGTCATAACCCCTACTGCATATTCCACGCCCTCTCTTATCCCCGTAAGTGCCCTGCTAAAACTACCAATTGGGCCCTATAGGCCGGTCCTGTTACACGTCTTTGCTGCCCCGATTCCAAACTCGTCATTTCCTAGCCGAAAACTGGCCTCGGTATTCAAAAACGACCAAAGGGTCAGTGCTCCGAGAGTTCCCGGGCTCCGAGAGTTCTCGGGCTCCGAGAGTTCCCCGGCTCCCGCACCTTCAAAATCCGACTATCGAACCGTCGGTGATGCGAGTATCTTAAACTAATAAAGTACAACCAACAAAATAATCAAAAATAACAAAACTCCGCCCTTCCCGAGGATCAAAAAAACCCCGTCCGGATTCCTCGGAACTTGAAGTTACCGAAAAATACTGCAGAAAGAGAAAATATAAAAACAGAAAACAGAAAACCGTTCCCGTAAAATAAAGTGAAAAACATACCACCCTCAGCCGCTATCAACGGTTCGACAGCGAGTCCGTCTTTGAATGGGAACCTCCCGAGGCTCCCGAGGAGCCACCCCGTCTATGTTTCCTTGCGTGATTCGCGGTGTACGAGAAGGCTGAAGTTAGAGTGTGTAGTGCTCGATTAGGCACAGCCTTAGCCAAGTTGGCCAGGACACCGAGAGAGAGAGAGAGAGAGAGAGAGAGAGAGAGAGAGAGAGAGAGAGAGAGAGAGAGAGAGACAAAAAAGGAAGAACGATCGAAAAGTTCGTCGTTTTTTTCTGCTTTTGTTTTCCTTTTTTTTTTTTTTCAAAACATGTGCGCCATAGCTATACTGTGCACCATTTTCTTTTCTCGACTCTTGCCACTGGCCATGGCAGAGTCTTGACTGTACTCTCCCTCTGTCGCACACCCATGCGCACACCCACACACTCTCTTGGCCACACTCTCTCTGTAACGCCCAGGCACGCACACACACACACACACTCTTTTCCCCTCTCTCTCTCTGACACACATGCACACACACAGACACATGGGCAAACTTCATCCCATCTGTCTCTCCGCCTGTGTGTGTGTGTGTGTGTGTGTGTGTGGGGGTGGGTGGGTGGGCCTCGCTGCACTACTCTCCGAGTGTGCAAAATGAAGAATTAATCCTCCGGTAGAACAGGAAAACTGCTCTTCCCGTAGGATAAACTATGGGCTA